CAGAGTGATATTTTGCACAATTAGCAACCAGATACCTACTGGGTTCTGGGCACCTCAGTTCACAAGTAACTCTCAAGTAGGTGGGAAGCCATAGTGTTTACCTCTTAGTATTCCCCAGAAGAGTTTTGAGATCAGGGCCTTGGCCTTCCTGAAGTGGGGCAACTTCAGACCTTGGCCTTGTCTGCACTGGCAGGATACTCCAGGGGTAGCCCAGAGTATCCTGATCCCACAGCTGCTTTGACCTGCCCCCATTATCTAAGGCTCTCTTTCTGTACCACAGAGTCTGTTTGCACAGACATCCCACTGGACTGCCCAGTGTGTCTGTTGCCATGATGGGTCGCTTGCTTCTAATATCAGAATGAGGTACCCAGTGATGAGGCTCCTAACCCTGACCTCAGAACAAGTGACCTGCAGCTGCAGAGGACACATCATAGCCCAACAAGATACCTGTGCAGATAGCCACCACACTGCAGAAACAGGGAAGATCTGGAACAATAGATAAATGATCTTAATTCATTTTGACCTAGTTATGCCCACAGTTCTGATGGAAGTCACGCCAGATGTTATCTGGATTGCCCACACCAGAACTGGGGTTTGGCCCATACATCATCTGAACAGGATGATGCCAGAATTGGAGGAGGGGCTTTTCGCCCATGCAAAGAAGGACATTATTTGAGGAAACAGAATCTTTGTATCCATTTCAGTTTGGTTTCAGATCAAGGTCTGATTTCAGTCAGCCTTAGTTGCTGACTGATGACCTACTATGGGGCAATGTAGGTCTGTGTGACCTATTATTTTTGACCATCCTGGATCTCTCATTAGCTTTTGACACCATTGATCATGATATCCTACTGGATCGGGTCCATTGGGTGTAGGAGGCACTACATTATGGTGGTTCCACTCCCTATCTGTGAAGCCTCTACCAGAGAGTAGCATTGGGAAACTCTTGCCAAGTCCTATGGTTATTAAAGTGTGAAGTGCCACCGGGTTCTATTTTCTCTCCCATGCTATTTGAAGTGTTTATTTGAAATTAAAGTAAGGTCATTAGAAGTTGCAAGTTGGTTACCATCAGTATGCAGATGACATTTGACTCTGCTTGTCATTAGAGTTGGTTGGGGTTGTGAAGATGCTAGAGCAGTCCCTGGGCTGGATGATGGCCACTGGGTTTGGGAAGATGCATAGGGTTGCACTGCCACAGAATGAGCAGGCTCATACCTTAAGATTGCTTTTAGATCCATCTTTATCACTGGAGGTCCAGATAAACACTGTGGCTCAGAGTGCTGGGTACAAGCTTCAACTAGTCCACCAACTAAAGTTTAACCTAGACAGGGATAACATCATAGCAGTCCATGAATTGTTAACTTTAGATTAAACTACAGTAAGGCACTCTACATGGAGTTGCCCTTGATAACAAAGAAGCTTCAACTAAGGCAAAATTCAGCAGTTATACTTCTGACCCTACAGAACACTGGTCTTAAAAGAATAGCATTGGTTTTCAATATGCTTCTGATCTAAATTAAGATGGTAGTGATCATACTTCATGCCCTAAATGGCTTGGGACCTCAACACCCGAAGGAACACCTCTACCTATATACACTTGCCTGAGACAGGTGTGTTGGAGGAGCCATCATCTGTAGCTCACCAGAAAGGGGCAGCACATTGTGGGAGGACATAGAAGAGGGCTTTATCTGCTGTGGCACCCCACTTATAGAATGCTCTCCCCTTAGAGACACATTTGGCACCAATGCTAGTGCCAATCTTGTGCCAAGTCAAAACAAGGTTTTTTGCTAGAGCTTTTGGGCTCATTGAGCTAATCCAAATTTGCATGTGTCATTGGTTTTACATTCTTTTAAATTGTTTTAACTGGTTTTAAACTTTGTTTTAATTTATCAGATTGTTTAGTATTTGTTTCTGTGTGAGAGAGATTGTGTGTATTTGCTTTCAAGTCACCAGGCAACTTATGCTGACTTCATTAATGTCATAAGGTTTTCTTAGGCAAGGAATCCTCAGAGGGGGTTTTGCCAATTCCTTCCTCTGAAATATAGCCTATAGTGCCTGGGATTCATTGGCAATCTCCCATCCAAGTATTAACCAGGGCTGATCTTGCTTAGTTTCCAAGATCCAATGAGATCTGGTGCCTTAGGGTATTTAAGATGTTTGCTCTACTTCACTTATTCTTATGGTTTCAAATCAGTTTAAGCCCTTCAAAATGATTTATTGAATGCTGATCTAAGATCCTAAAATACGGGGTGGGATATAAATATTTAAACACACACACACACACTTCTTGAACTTTGAGTTAAAGAGAATTTTAAAAGCATTTTTAGGTTTGGGGAGTAATAAATACTTTTAACATGAAGTATATGTATATCTCTGGATTCCTGCCCAAGAATCTTGCACAGATAGTGGGTAATACAGCCACTGACAATTTAAATCTTTCCATTAAAATGAGGAATTCCATCCTGGCCTGTGGCAAAATGACAGCCAAGGCCATGAAAATGCCTTCCCTATCTCCAGTATCACAATATTCATTCTGCTGCCGTAGCAGGTCCCTGAACAGCACTGGCTCTACTTTTTTTTGGGGGGGGGGGGAGAGAAATCACTTCTGTAAACATTCTATAACACAATATGCTTTAACTGTTGGGCACACATCTCAATCTTGTTCTCTTATGGACAGTGCCCACCAAAGCTTGCCAATTATCCTTGCCAAATGCCAAAACTGTACTTGCCACACATTAGCTGTTGACAAGGACTTACACAATTCTACCAATGGACAAAGAGAGGCAGTGTCAAACCTCTGAAGTTCTTTGCCCTGTTCAAAATTCTTGCTGAAAAAAAGGACCAAAGATCACAGATAAAGTGTTGTTTTCTGGAAAAAAGAAATCTTCCCTGTTGAACATTAACCAGGAGAATGGGCGCAGTGGGGAGAGAAGAGTAAATGTGCGCTTTCAGCTGCATCACTACTTTTCAGCTACAGAGCTACCATTTTACTGAAACCAAAAAAGCTTTGTGGCATTTTTAGAGATTAACAAGTTTTGTTTGGCATAAGCTTTCATGGACTGTAGCCCACTTCAGCACATGCATGGAGAATAATGTAGGCTGAAATTCACAGTGAAACTTGGTAGCCTTAAAGGTGCCATGAAATTCTTTCTTGGTTTTGCTGCAACTGATTATTATGGCTGCCTGCACCTTTGGAAATAATTTCACCAAATTTCTCCACAGTATGGAGCACTTGTCCAAATGTTTATCAGAGTGGTGGCACTATTTGTTTCTACAGAGTTCTAAAATGCTACTTTTTGGATTGCAATTTCCAGATTCCCCTAGTCAGTAGGATCAGGGGCTTTATTTGCTAGGAAATTGAAACTATAGTCCCTCCTCCACCAAAAGTAGTGTGCCTGCCTGCTTTTCTACTGTTAACTGCAGCAGCACTCTGTTGGTACCATGATCATCATTTTCATCTGAAACAGTGCCCTGGACTCGGTGTCATTGTGAGAAGCATGGGCTGCTATAAAGACAAAATAGACAATATTCCTTAAAATATTCTTTTCCAAGGGGATGTGTGGAGAAAAATATTTTCTGAGAAGTTCCCATTCAGCTCTGGAAACAATCTCAGATGGCACATGTCAATTTTATTACCTCATATGGGGTATGCATGACACAACCAGTCAATGCTACCCATTCCTGCTGATTTATTTCTCCCAAGTGTTTTGAGGGCAGTTTCCACTTCACTTTCTAAAAGAATGGATTTATCTTTAAATAGTTCTTTCTTGAATTAATCTATCCTTCTTTCATATAGTTCTTCAATGTATTGTTTCCATTGCTTTATTTTTTCTTGATCATGTAGTGTTTTACCCTGCTGATCATAGAGCATCCCCACTCTTGGTTTAAATTTCCCTCTGATTTCTCAGCGGTTGTGGAAAAGAACTCTTGTTCTACCTTTTTTGTTGGCATCTTCTATTTTTCTGCATTAATTAGTAGACTAGTCCTCCTTGTCTCTGCCCACAAGTCATTGAACAGTTGCATTCAGGGTTTTGACCCTACTTCCTCTTCTGCCACTTTAATTGGAGCATAAACTTGGATTATGGTTATTGTGAAAGGACCTCTTTAGAGACTAAGGTTGATTTCACCTTTAAACCTCAGAAGGTACCTGGCCACTAACACTTTGCCCTACTTTCACTCTTTTAACATTAACCTTATGTGTATAAGTACTACGGTCCCAAGTGTCTCCATAAGCCAGTTTCAATATTTTAGGTAGAATGCCCTTTCTTTTCAATTTATAACCATCAGTTTAGTCAGAGACAACCACTATAAAATGGTGGTGGCACCACTTCTCTTCAAATACCTACCTTTTGGCAGAAATGGGCTGTAGTATTCCCCTGCTTCCTTTAAAAATGTGATAAAAGA